CAACAACAAAAGCCACTGGCGAACGAAAATAAGGAAATAATCAATTTAAAAAAATCAAAATCACACATTTACCCATTTCGAGAGCAAACAACAAAGCTATACTAAGCAGAAGCAGAAGCAGAAGCAGAAAAGCAGAAGCAGAAGCAGCAAAGCACAAGCAACAATCAGTCTGTACGAGCCAGAGACAGAGAGGCACAGATAGCCATATAATCTATGGCTGGACTGCTCTCGCCGATCAGAATCCATATGCGATAAATAAATTGAATTTATCCGCAATTGGTGGATGACTAGGGGATGTGTGTGGGTGTGTGGGTTTTGTGTGTATATTTTGTAGTTGTTTTTTTTTTTTGTGTTCACTTTAAGCAGCAATACAAATAGCAACGATACGATGATAAGCACGACAGACCAGAGAGTCAGCAATCATTGCAGGCTTGTCCTAACTAAGCTCAATGTCTCCAGCGATATATACTATATATATATTGTATATATAGTTCAGATCTGAGTGGTATTTGTGTGTGCTGATTGATTTGAATTGAATAATTGCAATTGTGCGGCATTATTATTATTATTATTATTATTTGTAGTATTTGTCCAGACGAAAAACCCCTACTAAATTTTCCATAAATTCTCACCCGACGTCGTCTCATTATTATTATTATTATTTGCTTTAATCCAGACTTTTCAACGGCACCGAGTCAAACTTTTGCTTCGATTGGCATAACTTATACTAAATTCGAATAATCGCCAATAAATTTTTTTTGGCTCCCCATCATCATCATCATCAGCGGCGGCAAAATAAACAAATTTTTAATCATAATGAGATTCAAATTAATAGCAAAAAAATCTAAAATAATTGAAGCTCTTTAAGATTACGAAAGCAATAAACTGATAGAGAGAGAGCGAGAGTGTCATTGGGAATCGATCTTTACTTTACTTTATTTCTCACATTGTTTAAACAGTTGATTTTAATTTTAGAAGCGAAACGGTTTCTGCGTTAGATGGATTTTCCACTCGATTTGCATTTAAAAATAACACTTTAAGCCCATTGTCTTTTGTCGTGGAGCGTGTATCTAAATATTTGATTTGAAATATATAGCATATAGCATATATAACCCTTTAATAATTCAAGTTTCTGCCGGGTTTTGCCTCTGACGCAGATCGGTTTCGGTGGGTCCAATTCCCCAATTAAAAAGTCGAGCATTAATGCTATTAAATTTTGGCTTTGGCACCCAAGTCACGCGATGATAAGCCTAAATCGAATAATTATGATTATTATTATTATGATTCCATCCATTCAACCATCCATCCATCCATCTATACATCTATACATCTATCAGTGAGCTCAGAGAGGGAGGAGATGCGGGTGCTCAATAATCGGTTCCCTTATCATCGAAAAAGGTTTCCAAAATTAAACTCAATATTATGTTTGCTGATATTATAAATATATATATATGTATAAACAGCAAAGTTAATTACTATTATAATTACCATTTAAAAAAAAAGTCTATTAAATTAGAAGAATTTAATTGTAAACATTCCCATATCGTTGAAACTTATCAATGAATTTCCCCCTAATGACTCGTAAATGTATGTGGCTGCTAATCAGATATATTCGAATATATATAAAACTATATAAATATATATATATTTCTTTTTTCTGTGGTCTCTAGTGTTAGGATAAACAACTAAATCTAGCCGCAAAACAAAGGTCATAAAAAATTGATTTGGTTTGTGTGTGTGGTTTTTTTTTTTGTATTTTTTGTTCGTTGTTTATGCACAAATATGTGGAAATGTGTCGATAAAGAAATTCTATAAATATATATACAGACGATATATATATATTTTCCGGTGGATAAAAAAAACCCAAATCGAGTTGACTTTTGTTATTTAATAAATACATTGTGGTTTGTTTTTGTTTGTGGCGTGATAAAAAACTACAAAAATAAGCAATGAAACGTGTCGTTTTGTTTGAGAAGAGAGGCTGCCTAGTATTAGTAACAAAAAATAATAATAATAAAAGCAAAATCGAAGCGGAAGCTGCTCTATATAGCTTGGCTGCTGGCTGCTAATTTGTTGTTCATTTGTTTGCGCTGTCAAGAAGCGTTTAATTTTTGCTTTCTTTTCGATTATTTCTTTTCGTTTTTATTTGCATGTTGTTGTTAATTTTTTTTGTGCTGTATTGCGTTTTATTTTTGGAAATGCGACGGCCCAAAGCACTTTGTCTATAAAAATGCACTTCTGCGAAAAAATAAACACATGCCTCATAGCCAAAACAAACGCACAAAACTGGCGGCTAGAGCTGTTGCACTCTGGATTCTAACAACAAACAACTGTTGCAATTCCATTTAACATGATTTCTGGGCAACGAATCTTTCAAATCTACAGAGGGCCCTCGAAATATTAGCAAAAGATTTGTTATTGTACTTATCATACAAAAGAAATATGTATACTTTTGCATAAAGTGCAAGGGTAAGTCTCATATTCTCATATTATTCATATTTTCATACTTAGATTGCACTATAAAGCAGCAAGGTCACACTGGCTTTGACTTTCCCTAGGCTGACCACACTGTAATTTGTTTTTTTCTTTTCTTTGTGGCACTGCCGCCGCCGCCGCCGCTGCTCATATTCCTGTCGATCATCTTTGGCTGCTGTCCCGAGAGGACAACTCAGAAAATATTGTCGCATATTTATGAACATGTGTAACAGATAAATCTGAATCTACACACGCACAACCAGTGGCAAACAGCAGCGGGGGAGCACAAACACATAAGTGATTTAGTTGTCAGGCGAGTGCATTTATCACAGCTGTTTTTTTTGGGAGGAGGGGTTGGCTTTGCCAGGGCGCCAGTAATCAAACTAATGAGCTTGGTCTTGGGTGGTGGCAAAAATAGCTTTTAATGGATTTCAAATAATGACAAAAAAAAAATGGGGAAAAAATACTCCATTTAACACCATATATATACCCCCTCTAACTACTCCCCTGCTTAGGTGGTGAAGTGAAGTGATAAAACATTAAAGAAATGCGCTTGCTTCGCCTTCTTGCAACACCTTGGGGGTTGCTAATGGAGGAAGCTGCTGCACTTAATGGCAAATGATAATGATTGATGCTGAAATGCAAGGGAAATATGCTATGCATTCAACATCTTCACAAAAAGCCACACGAGAAGCACTTGGGAGTAGCAAGTCAAAGAGCTTTAGCTTCTATATCATTCTTTAGGGTTGATGTCTGGGCGATAAGCAATCATTCAATGCGGTTTCAAATATATAAAACAAAAGCAAAAAAATCATTTGGAAGGGGAGTTTATATCTTGCTTCTAGCATTTAAAAAGATTAAAAAGGTTTTGTATCTCTGAGATATTGTGTTTTAAAAATGCTTATAAACCCAAAACAATAATTATCAATCTATACCCTCTTAATATCTGTATCTAAATCCCTCTCCCTCAAGTTTTTGAGTTATTTTAGGCAAATTTGATCCCTTGGAAAACCCCTTTAACCCATCATTCCTCTGGTGCTGTGTAAACAACAAAGGCATTCAACAAATTTGTAGGCGTAAAAATTGTCTTGTCAATATTTTAATGATATCACTTTACACCCCCCGTTTAGTCCTTGTCCTTGTCCTTGTCTGTGGCACAAAAATAAAAAAGTTTCCCTTCAACTTTTTTGTGTTCCCTTGTTGTTGTCCCCAGGAAAAAGGCTGGAAATTTCCCCCCTATACATATATTTTCCTTCTTTTTTTTTAGAATTTTTTCCCGCTATCCCTTTTGGCTGCTGTCTTGGGCGTGTAAAGAAGAAGTCAAAAGTCCCGCCGCTCATTTGTTTGCCTTGTTTCCTTTTTTTTTTTTTTCCTTTTCGGTCGGTCTCGGTTTCTCGCTCTCGTACTCGGGCAACATTTTTTCTGTTTGGCTAGAAAATTACAAGAAAAGTGCCCGGAAAAGTGGGTGGTGGTGTTCAGGGGGGGCGGTTTGTTTATTTGTGCAAGTGTTTTCTCAATTGTGCGTACTGGCCAGGAGGAGGGAGATGGCCGAGAAGTGGCGAGAATCTGTAGACGGAGGTCGGTCCTCGGTCAGTCGTGCGTCGCCGTCTGCGGTTGGAATTTAGCTCCTTCTCTTTTACTTGGATTTTTCCCCGAGTTTTCTCGACTTTCCCCAACACCAACACACACACACTCGCAGCATTCCAGCGGCGACGTTTGTCTAATCTTAACGGTTTTACATTTCATTGCGCCGGGTAATTGTCCTTCAGTGGGTTGGGTTTTCCTCTTTGGTTTCGGCTGCAATCCCCTTTTTTTTCTGAGGGATATTCGACCTTAGTCCGCTACAGTTTATTAAATTAAAAAGTCACTTAAAGTCGGGGGAGAACTTTTATTTTTTTGTTACTCCTTTTTTTGTAACATTTTTGTGGTGTTTGAAGTCCGAAAAAGGGGTTGCGAGTTTGCTTAATGTGAGGATTAAAGAGTGCCCATTAGGCTAAAGGATATTTTACTTAGAGCTGATTGGTATGCTAACAGAAAATGCTTACTTTGAGCTCCTAGCCATTGGTTAACTAACTCCAAATTAGCTTTACTTTTCAACAACACTTTAAAAAAATGTTATAACAAGAAAGAAATACGATTGCAATTGATTCCTGGTTATCAAAATGCATTTCATTCATCAGGTAATATTTTTTGGGGGCCAAAGGGGCGTACGCCGAAAATGTTTGCTTTAAGCTCCTAACCATTGGTTAACTAACTCCAAATTAGCTTTACTTTCAACAACACTTTAAAAAAATGATATCAAAATGCATTTCATTCATCAGGTAATATTTTTTGGGGGCCAAAGGGGCATACACACTATCACCATAGAAGTGAACAGCGGGGAGGCCGCGCACAGACTGAGGGCCGTGAGAAAGCAATGCCTCTATTTATACCCTCCGAGCAAAGAGAAGAGCAGAGAAAGTGAGAATGAGAGCAAGAGAGAGAGAGAGAGTAATCTACACTTAACGTAAACACACTCAACTTACCTCTTTATCTTTGGCAGCTAATAGGACAGCTGGCTGGCCGTTGTTGTTGTTATTGTTCTTCTTCTTGCGCTTCTCGCTGTTGCCACTGCTGCTGTTGTTGTTGTTGGTGTTGTTGGTATTGTTGTTATTGGTATTGCTGTTGTTGTTGTTATTATTATTGGTATTGGTATTGCTGGTGGCTGTGTTGCTGGTTGTTGTTGTTGTATTATTGTTGTTGTTGTTATTGCTAGTTGTGGTGGTATTGGTATTGTTGTTATTGGCGCAATCATCATCCTCGGCACTATTGGCAGCCACAACAGCAACTTGTTGCTCATTGTTGGTATTACTTTCATTGTTGTTGTTGTTGGTGTTCTTTCGACTACAACTATTATTGCTATTATCGGTTGTTGTTGTTGTTGTGGTTACATTTAAACTAGCCTCCTCCTTGATGTTGTCCTCTAAAAGTTCCAACGCCTGCGTTGTCGCACTTGGCTCAGTTCTGGTCTCGGTCTCCATATCATCTGGATTCGATTGCATCGATGCATTCTCCTCCTCCTCATCCTCATCATCATCGCCAGCATCATCCTGCTCTGGCTCATGCTCCTGCTCAGGCTCTTGAGCCAGATCATCCTCCTCCTCTTCCTCCTCATCATCATCGTCCTCATCCTCGTCCAGCTGCAGATCCTGATGACTGTTATTGCTGCTGGCCATGGTCTCATTGGTTATCGACTGATCGACCGTTGCCGCTGTTGCTGTTGCACCTGCAGCGTTTGCTGCTGCTGCTGCTGTTGCTGCTGCTGCTGCTGCAACATCGGTGACCGGTGAGTGGAGTGGTGATTGCTGCTGTTGCTGCTGTTGCAAGGCCGCCGCTGCTGCCGCTGCAGCCGCCTCCATCATCATCTGCTGGGCGTGGCTGAAGAAAAGCTTCGGATTGAGGCAGGCGCCGCTGACGACGCCGCCGCTCTGCTGCAACTGCAACTGTTGCTGCTGCTGCTGCAGCTCGGTGCTGAGCAGCGGCGGCGAGGGCGACGGCGTATTTGTATTTGCGAGCAGATTGCTGCCGTTCTGCTGCTGCAGCGTTAGAGCCGCTGCAACGATGGAGCTATTCAGCTGCTGCTGCTCCTCCTCGTTATCTGTGATTGCTCCTGTTGCTGCTGCAACTGCTCCTGCTGCTGCTGCTGCACCTGTGTCGCTGTTATCGCTGTTATCGCTATTGCCGGTGGATAGCTGCTCTTTGAGTGTGTTCACTTCCTTCTCGGCCTGGGTAGCGCGCTATAATAAATAAATATCACGAAAAATAGGTAAGGATTAATTTTATTTGCAAGTTAAATTTAAATTCAATTTGAATATATAAATATAGTAATAAATACCAGTAAGTAATAAGTACCAAAGAATCAACTTTCTAGCTAATATTTTGCAGGTTTTACATTGAATTATTGGATATTATAGCATTATGACACTGTGTGCTAAGAGGAGTATGGTTACACTTAATATATATTTTTTTTTAATATGGCTTAAACTACTGGTAAATATTAATTTCAATGTAAAATATTTTAGTTATAAAAGTCCTAAAATTATTATTTATTATTATAGATTTATTTATTGGTAATTATGGCACTATGACACTGTATGCTAAGAAGAGTATGGTTACATTTAATATATAATTTTTTTAATAAAGCGTATACTACTGGTAAATATTAATTTCAATGTAAAATAATGCAGTTATAAAAGTCCTAAAATAATTATTTATTATTATAGTATTATTTATTATAGTATATTATATCAAATTATGATTATAATACAAAATTAAATCATATTATAAGATATAATTATTATATCTATATATATATGTATACAAATATATATGTTTAAGGGGCCATCTCCCATTTTCCCCTCTTTAAAAATTCGTTTAACGTCAGCCACATATGTTGCAAAAAGTTTGGGGCACCAAAGCCAACTATCGACCCTCATTAATTTTACTTTTAAAGTCATTACGGGTTAAATTTAGACAAATTAATACGTTGCAAAAACTTTTGTTGGCCGACAACGACAACAGCAGCAGTAGCACCAAACCCGGGTTCTGTCGGAAGGCTTAAAAAACATTCCAGAGTCCCGGAGTCCGGGACTTCCCCCCGCTCGGTCTGCATTAGCAACCGGCACAAAAAACAACACACACCGAGAGTGGGGAACAAATTTATAGTTTATCGTTCGTATCGATAAGCCTTGACTTGAAAATGTTTGCCTGCTATTAGTGCTGACCTTCAAGGGGTGGGGGTGTGGCGCGATGGGTGGTTTTCCACCCGGAATCAAATGCCAAATGAGAAATTAAAACAACAAAACACAGCCAGGAAGAAGGTTACAAAAATATGCGGTGCAAACTTTTTTGGCAAATTAGTCTGGGATTCCAGACTGAACGACAGAGAGAGAGAGCCAAGTTTTAAGGCTTCCTCCTAAGCCCGAAATGGCAATGACTTTTCCTAGGTCCCTGGTCCCGGGGCCCTTTTCTCGGATTCGATTTTCTGTTGATTTGTACTTGTTTCGGTTTTCGGTTTTCGGTTTTTGGGCATTTTCTGTGCAATTTTATTTGTATAAATACCGGAAGGCTAGGCAAAAAAAGGGGCAGGACGCCCAAGGAGGATCCTTCAAGGGGGCGTTGCAGGCAATAAAGAACTTTGGAAATTAGTCGATTTGGCTCTGCCAAAAACTATTGGTGGTTGGGAACTTAAGCCCTTGGCCATATCGAAGTATCGAAGGAAGTGGCTAAAAACCCAGTCTCCTCCTTGTTTTTTTTTTTTTTGTTGGAGAACTTAAGCAGGAAGTCGTTTACAGAAGGGGGGGGTTGAGAAAAAGGCGATATTAAAGCGTTTTATCTGGAAGAAAAACCAACGAACAACATTTCCTTAATGACAAAATACATACCCAGAAATAAATGTATATTCTATGCGCTATTGCTGAAAGCAAATCATTTTTCCTTGGCCCCGCCAGGCATATTTGTCAACATCATCGTTCTCATTACGATGGGATTGAGGTAGGGAGATTCGCATAGATATATATTTATGATATTTAAAAGCTCTTAAGTACAAACAACAGACAGGCGAGTGCGGGAAGCTGCTGCAATATCCACGAGTCCTGGCCACGAGTCCTTTTCCCAGACATTCAGACAGAGACAGAGACTGTGGCAATGGGTGGCTTTCAGTGGTTGCTCTCCCTTTCTCCCAGACTCCTTTCTCCCTGACTCTGTTTTAAGACCGTCGTCGCCGCTGCCGTGAGCTGCTTAAGCTTGAAAATTGTTTTCATAATGGCCAAAAAGAGAGGAGGGTGGTAGAGAGAGAGAGAGAGAAGAGTGGGGCCAGAAAGGATACTTTTCAGTTTCAGTTTTTGATTCCTGCCGCCGCCATCGCCAGAGGTATTTCCCCATTTTCTTTCGCTGACTTTTTGCTGGGCCCAAAATCGATCAGTGGCCCAAACAGCAGCAGCAGCAGTGGAAATCCCCGTGGGAAGCCAAGCACTTGTTGGTTGGAAAATAGTTTTCTTGGCCAGGTTTTTCCTCCTCTATATTATTTTCTTTTTTTTTTTTTTCTTGCTTTGCTCTTCTGTGAAATCAATTAATACAAGAAGCGGGGTCTGGCATTTGCCGAAAAACCAAATGAGTTAATTAACTAAAATGCGGGTGGCTTTGCTGGGTTTTTTTTTTTCAGAAAGTTGGAGGGTTTTTTTCTTTTTTTTTTTTGGTATTTTTTGAAATTTTTATTTTGGGTTTTTGTGCCCACTTCAATGGTCGGTCGGCCCCCCACACACAGTCCGTGTGTGTGGTCAGCTTATGGCTGGCAAGGCTTTCTCGTATTGAGCACCCTTTTAGCGTTCCCCTTTTCCTAGCTCCCCTTTTATTTTTTGGGTTTCATTTAATATTTTTGCCCCGGTTGCCACTTCAAAGGAGCTTTGATAAAAAAAACAACAAAAACCATGAAGAATTGCATAAAAACCCGAATGGGTTCAAAATCTCTTGCGCGCGAAACAAAAATGTTAAGTGAAATGTTAAAATTCCAACCTTACCAAAAAATAATTGACCTTTCTAGGAAAAACAGAGTTTGGGTTTTTATCCATATAGATTTAATTCATATGTAAATTCTGTATATTTTTTTTATTTAAGAAAGATGTTTTAGAATGTAGTAACTTTAGTATATTGTAGTCTATCTTGAAAATTTTTTTTAACTCTTTCAGAGCTAAACCTAAAATGAAACTCTCTATATTTCTCTCTCTCTCTTTCTCTATATTTCTCTCTTTCTCTTTCTATCTCTCTCTTTCTCTTTCTATCTTTCTATCTTTCTATCTTTCTATCTCTCTCTTTCTCTTTCTATCTCTCTCTTTCTCTATCTTTCTATCTTTCTATCTCTCTCTTTCTCTTTCTATCTCTCTCTTTCTCTATCTTTTTCTCCCTTTCTCTATCTTTCTTTCCCTTTCTCTATCTTTCTTTCCCTTTCTCTCTCTTTCTCTCGTTTCTCAAAAGTTCAGCTTAAAAAGAAAGTCTCTCTTTCGATCTCTCTCTTGCTGGCACATTGCAGGCTAAGCGTGGGGGAAAGAGTGGGAGAGATGTAGAGCGAGAGAGCACTTGGGAGAGGACAAACCGAAGAATGGTTGTTTTGATATATTTTAACCTCTCTAATAGAGTTTTTTGGAACACTACTATTATACATAGTAATATTTATTTTATTAATATATTTGAAATTATATATATTTATTAAATTTTGATAGCAACTAAAATATATATTCTTATTACATTTTGAATTATTCACATATATTCATAACGAAATATATTTATTAATTGTTAAGTATAAGATATACTCCTTTACTTTTTCCACTTCATTGGCAATTGTATCAATGAATGTCCTCCCTACCTACCCCCTCTCCCTCATTTCTAAGCTTTGCTGTTCCTGATTTATATATATATATATGATATATATATTGTATATAATTTTTCCCCCTTTTTTTTCTCATCGTGTTTGTTCACAATTGTCGTGTGCTTGGCACATGTCAACTCACTCGTCGTCGTCGTTGTTGTTGTTATTGTTGTTGTTGTTGTTGTTGTTGTGCTTCCCCCCTTTCGGCACCATTGCCGCCGCCCATGTGTGTGTGTGCTGTGCTTGTTGCCCCTCCTGAGGTTGCAGCATGCGCGGCGGCATTGTCTCAAGCTGTTTGTCTGAAGTGAGTTTTTGGTTTTTGGGCTCAGAGAGAAAGCTCAAGATTCGCAGCAGCTGTTGTTCTTCTCGTCAGGACCTTATTTCTGGATTCCTGAAGGAGGTTTTTTTTTTTTTTTGGGGGGGGGGGGCAAGCACTTTTTGTAATTAGTACGAAGGCAATGTTATGAATTGTGCTTCAACTTAAGCTCGAGTGGCCGGGCTTCTTCTGATTTAACGAAAAGGGGATATATACAATATATAATATGTACATGTACCATAGATGTATCAACCCCCTGCGGTTGATATCAACCTTTTTTTGTATAATTTTTTCTTGATCTTGGAAAGGGTTAACGCGACTGCATTGTGCGGTTTTTGCTTTGCTTTTTTTTTGACAATAAATCAAAGCAAATCAATGCCACAATGTGGGTTAAGGTGGCACACGTTGCTACTCCAGCAGTATCCTTCAGCTGTATCCCTTTGTACCCCTTTTCCCCCTTTTTTCTAGTACTTCCAGAACTCAAAGGACTTGCCAGGACTGCCACTTAAACGCCTGCCTAGCCTTAGCTTTATATGTAGATATAAAACCAGCGACCAAGACAATTACACACACATTAAGCAGAAATTACAAATAGATATATATTCTTATGTATATATCCAAAGAGGTTGTCCTGGAAGGAGGTTAAATTATTATAGCCTGATTCTAAGAAAGAACAAATAAACAGTTAAGAGAAGAGAAGCTTTGACAGTCTTAAGAGCAGGGATATGTTTATACAAAAAATGCCTTAAGGATTTCAAATGAAAAACTTAACAAAATACAGAATACTAAAACACTTCTACGTACTACAAAATATATAGTTTTCTTTATAATGTAGGAAAGAAATTTACTTAAATATTTATTATTTCATTTAATAATATGAAAGTATCTATAAATGTAACCCGACTTCCATATAATAAAAACATTCAAAATATTTGCTTTCTCTTTATTAAACCCTATAATTTCAGTCAGAAGCTTATAATACTGCGAAGGAGTCATTTCCGACCCTATAAATCATATATATTCTTGATCAGCACGACAAGCTGAATCGAACTAGCCAT